GATAAAGGGAACAATCCAACAAGGGGATATAACAATTGTCGATATCTATGCACCCAGCATAGGAATACCTAAAAAGTAAAGCAGTTATTAACAGACATAGAGGGAGAAATGAGTATGATACAATAATAATAGGGGATTTTAACACTCCAATTACACCAATGAATAGATAATCCATACAGAAAATCAATGAGAAAACAGTGGCTTGGAACAACACGTTGGACCAAACAGAGCTAACACATATATACAGAACATTCTGCCCGGAAACAGCAGAATACACATTCTTTTCAAGTGCATATAAAACATTCTCCACAAGACAAATATCAATAAATTTAAGAAGTTTGAAGTCATATCAAGCATCTTTTCTGACCACAACAGTATAAAACCAGAAATCAGTTATAAGGGAAAAGATGAACTAACATAGCTAAAAGCTAGTAGAAATAAGGAAATGATAAAGATTGCAGCACAAATAAATTAGAGACAAAAAAAAAACAGTGGAAAAGATCAATGAAACCAGGAGCCGATTCTTTGAAACTATAAATAAAATTAATAAACCCTTAGGCAGGCTCATCTAGAGAGGAAGGGGACTCAGATAAATGAAATCAGAAATGAAGGAGAAATAACAATTGACAACACAGAAGTATAAATGAGTATAAGAGAATTTTATGAAAACTTATATGCCAACAAATTGGACAACCTATAAGAAAGGCCAGAAGACAGTGACATGATTTGTTTAAAATGCTGGAAGGAAACACTCCGCAATCAACAATATTCTACCTGGCAAGATTATCATTCAGAATAGAAAGAGAGACACTATTTCCCAGATGAACAAAAGTTAGAGGAGTTCATCACCACTATACCAACCTTACAAGAAATGTTAAGGCGGTTGCTTTCAGTAGAAAGAAAAAGCCATAACTAGAAGTAAGAAAAGTATAAAAGAAAAAATTTGGATAAGAAATGGATAAATTCTTAGAAACCTAAGTGTCCAAAAATGAATCAGGAAGAAATAGAAAATTTGAACAGACCAATTAATGAAATTTTATCAGTATTCAAATAATTGCCAACCAACAAAAGTCCAGGACCAGATAGCTTCACAGGTGAATTCCACCAAACATTTAAAGAAGAGTATTGCCTATTTCTCTCAAAATATTCCAAAGAAAAGAAGAGGAAGGAAAACTTCCAAATTCATTCCCTGAGGCCAGCATTACTCCGATACCAAAACCAGACAAAGACACTACCAAAAAAAAGAGAGAGAACTACAGAGCCAATATCCCTGATGAGCATAGATGAAAAAATTCTCAACAAAATATTCAACAATATATTAAAAAATCAGTCATCATGGTCAAGTAGGATTTATCCAGGGATGCAAAAGTGCTTCGATATTTACAAACCAAGCAATGTGATACATCACATTAACAACAGAAAGAACAAAAACTATATGGTCATCTCAATACATGCAGAAAAATCCAACATCTATTCATGATAAAAACTCCCAACGAAGTGGATTTAGAGAGAATACACCTCAACATAATAAAGGCCATATGTGAAAAGCACAGCTAGCATCATATTCAATTGTGAAAAACTGAGAACTTTTCCTCTAAGACCAGGAATAAGACAAGAATGTCCACTCTCACCACTTTTATTCAACATATTACTGGAAGTCCTAGCTGCAGCAATCAGATAAGGAAAAAAAAAAAAGGAATCCGAATCCAAAGTCGTAAGGAAAAAGAAAAACTTTCATTATTTGCCAATCACATGACACTATATATAGAAAACCCTAAAGAATCCACAAAAAAAAAAAGAACCTATTAGAACTGATAAACGAATTCAGTAAAGTTGCAGGATACAAAATTAATATACAGAAATTGGTTGCATTTCTATACACTAGTAATGAAGGAACAGAAAGAGAAACTGAGAAAAACTATCCTATTTAATATATCATATGATTTCACTTATATGTGGAATCTAAAAAACAAAACAAATCAGGAAACCAACAGAAACAGAAACAGAATCATAAATATAGGGAACAAACTGGTGGTTCCCAGAGGATGGGGGAGGCTGGGGGAGGTTGAGCTAAATAGGTGAAGGGGATAACTTCTGGTTATAAAATAAATTAGTTATGGGAATGAAAAGTACAGCATAGAGAATACAGTCAAAAAAATTGTAATAACTTTGCATGGTGACTTTATCATGGTGAGCATAGCATCATGTATAGAATTGCCAAATCATTTTGTGGTACACCTACAATTACTATAACATCGTGTGTTAACTCTACTTCAATTAAAAAACAAAACAAACAAGCAAACAAAAAAACAGTAGTTGTTAGGGATTAGCAAAAGGGAGGGATGAAGAGTCCAAGCACAGAGGATTGGGGGCAGTGAAAGTACTTTCTGTAATACTATAGTAGTAGATACATGTCATTTTACACTTGCCCAAACTCATATGATGTGCATAACCAAGAGCGAATGCCAGTGTAAACTGTGCACTTTGCGTATTATATGTCATTCAGTCATCAACTGTAATGAATGCATCACTCTGGTCAGTGATGTTGATAATGGGGGAGGCTATGCCTGTGTGGGGGCAGAGGGCATGTGGGACACCTCGATACCTTCCTCCCAATCCTGCTGTGAATCTAAAACTGCTTATCCCGCTTACAGGTATCGTATATGGTTTGTCTATTATCCAGTGTCTGCTGCCCCCATAAGAGTGTTTGTGAAAACTGACTCTTGGTCTGCCTTACTCATTGCCACTGTCAACACCTACAAGTGAACCCCGAGGACGCCCAGAAATAAAGGGGCCAAAAGATGTCCGTGGAAGAAACCAGGAGTAGCAGAGGCCAAACTGCTGAGGTGGAGTGATAAGAAGAGGGCACGGAGGCGTGGAAGATGGGGTTTTTCAAGGAAAGAGATACAGTGATATGTGAGGATGGGTTGATGGGACAGGGAGAAGGGTATCAGAGTGTTGTGAACATATATAGGTTGTAATGGTGAATTAATGGATTATTCCTCATTAAAGGCCCTTCCTGCTGTATTTTGTCTTGGTGCTCATCTGGTTGGTATTTGTATCAGTAATGTGAATGAAGACATTTACAGTTTGCTTGTTGTAGGTAGAGGTAACAATGACAGAATCACAATCCAAAAATGCCTAAACAATCCCTCAGAAGAAAGATAAGAGGAAATTTAGCAGAGCTGAATGTGAGGCCCACACAGGTCGGAGAAAGCAGGATGTAGAAGCCCCCTAGAAAGCCCACCAGCAACACATCATGAGTCAGTATTTCCCTGGAGTTAAGGGAGTAGCCAGGGGGTCGCACTGGGCTGTGTCTGCATGGGTTCCCCTGCCTTCTATCCAGGTGTCCTCGGGCAAAGGTCTTAAGCTCTCTTGGCTTCATCCTGGAGACACGGATATCTACTTGGCATAATTTTTATGAGGTCAGCTGAGGTAATCCATGTAAAGATCATGGAAGAGCCATGATACATATTTAAGTACATAATTATCAGTAGATATTTTTGTGTCATAATGAGAAATGTTCAGTCTCTGTCCCCAGTTCCTGGCACAGAGATTCTAAAACCCTTGGAATGTCCTAAGTGGAGCAGTCTCTTTGGCTATTCAAAGGAGCCCCTTCTGATCACACCTGAGTTTATAGTACTGAGGTGACTGAAGGTGGCTCCCATAGACGGCCTTAGGATGGGGCTGGTCACCAGAATGATCAAGTGATTTGCAAAGTGGAAATTTCAGCCCATCCACCAACCTTGAGGAAGGAGAAAGGAGGAAGGCTGGAGATCAAACTCTATAAAATCTCTTGAACAAGGAGATTTGGAGACCTTCTGGGTTGGTGAATGCATCCACATGCCGGGAGCGTGAAATGCCCCAACTACATGGGGACAGAAGCTCCTGTGCTCCAGACCCTTCTGGACCTCACCCTATATGACTCTTCATCTGGCTGTTTATTTGTATTTCTTGTAATATCTTTTATAATAAATGTAAATGGAAGTTGTGTTTCCCTGATTTCTGTGAGCTGTTCTGGCAAATTTTCAAAGCTGAGGAGAGGATTCTGGAAACCCGCAGTTCATAGCTGAGTCAGAAAGAAGCACAAGTAACTTGCATTGGTATCTGACATTGGCAGTGTGGGGAGGGTGCAAGGCTAGGCCCTTACCCTGTGCTACCTCTGAGTACATAGTGTCAAAACTGAATTGACTTGTAAGACACCCAGTTGGGGTCCACAGAGATTTGGCTGTTAATGTTAGAAAACACACCGGAATTTCACACTATCATTTGCTGCAAAATTCCAATATGAACTTGTGATCTGATGTGATGGCCAGAAACATAAGGAAGTTAGAGCCCCCCGCCCCACCCCCGACAGTCACAGTGCACCGTACATCTTTAGGAGTATCAGGTTCAGTACTTCAAACAGGGACGTGAACAGAAAAGCCCTTCCCTAGGACAGCATGACTACATAGGTGAAGATGTGAAGCCACATCCTTCTTGAGAATCTAGAGATGTCCAGGCAAGAGACGAGAAGGCCTAGAGTGTGACTGTTATCTCTGGGAAATTGAGATCAACACCTCTCAGCAGAGCCCTGGGGAGCAGAACAAGGACCAACACACAGAAACCAAAGAAGGTGCTGCGTAGAAATAAGAACTCTCGCCTAATGCAGCGGCCACAGTGTGCAGCAATGGCTGGTGCGCTCGGAATGTCCACACGTGAAACCAGTGACGATCCATGTGAGTGTCTGAGACGCAAGTATTTCCCTCAGTGGGGGACTGAGCTGAACAATCCCTAGGGTTTCTTTCAACTCCAAGAATCTCTAATTCTGTAGTCATAAATACCTTACTAGTAGAAGGTAGTATCTCCTGCTTCCAAGCACTTCACATACGGTCTCCTCCATTCTCTACCCTCCACTCTGTCCGATCAACCTGTTATAGAGCAGCCCGCATCCGTGTTTCCCAAGCAATACATCCCTGAAGCGAAGGTGCTTTTCTGCTGAGACACCAGTGAAGACTTACCCCAGTTTCTGCAGCTTACATTGTGGATGCTTTGCTTTTTCACATAAAATTCCAACTCCTGCGTCTCCCAGGGCATTTTCCCCCAAGTAGAGTCTGGTCAGGGACTGGTTGGTGCTCAGGACGGATGCAAGGTCCTCACAACATGCTGATGTGAGACAGCAACTGACCAACCTTCCATAGAGACGGCAGAATGTCATACACTTTTCTCACCTCACCGTCTGGGAGTCACGGAAGCACCTGGTCTGATGCTGCCTCTGGTCCAGTCCACACACAGGAAGAGTGTCCAAACCGTATATTAACTGTTCATTTCCTTTTGTTTGGTGTTATAGCAAGTAAACACCTTCCAAGCCCATACCAATACTCCATCTTTTCAGCTCCCTACGCTTATTTTTATTGTGGTAAAATACACATAAAATTTACCACTGTAATCCTTTTTAGGTGTACAATTCAGTAGCATTTAAGTACCTTCTCATTGTTTTGTAGCTGGGACCGCCATCCATCTCCAGAAGTTTTTCATCTTTCCAAACTGGAACTCAGCACCCAGTGAACACTAACTCCCCACCCCTCCCTGCCCCAGCCCCTGGGAGCCACTATTCTATTTCTTGTCTCTATGAATTTGACTATTTTAGGTCATTCCCGTAAGTGGAATCATACATATCTGCCCTTTTGCATATGGCCTATTGTAATTAGTATAACGTCTTCAAGATTCATCCATGTTGCAACATGTGTCCGATTTCCCCTGAAGGCTGTATGCATGTATAATTCCACGTTCCCCCACCCCCAACCCCACCCCCATACCACATTTTTAATCCATTCTTTCATCCATGGATATTTGAGTTGTCTCTACTTTCTGGCTATTGTGAATAATGCTGCTGTGGACACAGGTGTACAAATACATGCTTGGATACCTGATTTCACTCTTTTTTATATATACCTGGAAGCGAAATTGCTGGTTCATACGGTAATTCTATATTCACTTTTTTGAGGAACTGATGTACTGTTTTCCGCACCAGTTACATTTTACATTCCCACCAGCAATTATGATGGTTCCGATTTCTCCTCACCTACCCTTGTGTTTTGTTGTTTCGTTTTTTTTATAATAACCATCCTAATGGTGTGAATTGGTCCTACCATTTTCAAGTGTTTTCTCTTTTTTTTATTTTATTATGTCATGTTAGTCACCATACATTACATCATTAGTTTTTGATGTAGTGTTCCATGATTCATTGTTTGCATATAACTCCCAGTGCTCCATGCAGAACGTGCCCTCTTTAATACCCATTACTGGGTTAATCCATCCCCCACGTTTTCTCTTATTCGAAATGCAAGTCTCCCAGAAGCTTTTAGTGAAGGGCTGCATAAAATATCAAGTGTCTGCATTGTGTTAGCACCTCTTTTCCTGTTTGGTGTAGAGACCAAGAGTTTGTCATAAAGTCCCTTCTGGAGCAATGCATTTCACTGGTTGTATTTTCTCAGCTAGACTGTAAATACCTTAAAAGTGAGCATGATTAATTTGTTTAAGTTCCTTTCTAAGGCTTAGTATGTGGCTCTTCCCACAACAAACAGTAACTGATTGAATTATTGATAAACACCTGGAAATCTGAGCAGTGAAGGCCATCATGGATCGTTGAAGCCCCAGCTCATTCTTTGTGAAGGAAAACAGTTCAGACTCACCAAAGCTTCTTCAGATTGCAGAATAGGTGTCTCAGCCCCACACAAAGAAGTCTAATTCCAAAGTCTCCCAGGGTGTTGTGGCTCAGATCCAATTCCACCAGCTTCTGGTTGCTGCTCAGGACCGAGGAGATGTTGAAGCAGCACTGATGGGAAAGGCAACACTGCCCCAACCTGCATGCCAAGTACAGAAGCAGAAAGCATCAGGACACAGGCTGCTTCTGTCACTGCCTTCTGGTTTATGCTTGTTTTCAGCACCAAACTGGGGCATCTGTGGTCTCATGTTACAAAGGGAAATTTTTAAGGAAAGTTAGGTGAAAGTGTGATCTTATCAGAACTCCTACATGCAGCCCCAGACTTATTGTGAAGTCACCTCCCAGGCTCACGAGCTACAGCCTGAGACCACAACTGCTGAGTGCGTCCGTGAACCCCCTCCATAAGTAATGGTCGGCTCTCCAGTGTATACTGCATGTCCCTGTTTTATAAAGGAACACGGTGGTGAACCTGTGTGTTCCACCTGTGTATCATATGTTCCTCACTGTGAAGATCCTCAGGTGGACACTGTTCTCTCTGGGGCTTTACCCATCTACTTCTCTTGTCCCTATCGTTCTGTTTAATGATCAAATCCCAGCCCTCCACCTACACTGAAATAGCAGGAAGCTTTAATTCTTGATTTGATTTACAACCCCCCCCCACACACACACACTGTTATCACCATCACCACCAATAACGACAACTACTAGGAACAGAGGAACAAGAACAACATCCTCCTTCCCAGTTGAACAGTTGAGCATCCTAGCGCCTATTAAAAAAATCTTCCTTTCGGGCGCCTGGGTGACTCAGTTGGTTAAGTGACTGCCTTCGGCTCAGGTCATGATCCTGGAGTCCCAGGATCGAGTCCCGCATCGGACTCCCTGCTCAGCGGGGAGTCTGCTTCTCCCTCTGAACTTCCCCCCTCTCGTGTGCTCTCTCTCTCTCTCTCTCTCTCATTCTCTCTCTCAAATAAGTAAAATAAAATCTTTAAAAAAAAATCTTCCTTTCTACCCCATCTTCACACCGACTAGAGGTAAATGCATGACTAAACCTCTGTTTACCTGCAAAATATCTCATCATCACCCATGTCTCCCTGTTTGTGTCTCACTCTCTGGAATCACACAAGGGCACCCACCAGGGCAGTGGGGAGAATGGCATGGGATGGAGACAGAGAGGCAGGTGAAGAGCCAAAACCAGCCAGAGCCTTGAAGGCAAAAGAGGATTTGTAATTTATCGAAAGAACAAAGAGAAAACATTTAAGCCAGGGAATGGCATAATCAAAGTAGAATTTTCTAAATAACCCTCTGACTGCTATATGGGAAATAGATTTATAGGTGGTAAAAGTGGATGTGGGGAGATCAAACAGTCAGTACTCATTCAGTATGTATTTTTGAGCATTAATGTGTGCTAACACACTTGTCCAGACATTGTAGAGACAGTGGAAAGATGAACACAAATCCTGCCCCATGAAGCTGATGGTCTTGAGGGCCATTGCAATATCCTGGCAAATAGTCATGGTTGCTGGGCCTGAGCTACTGGTTTGTATAGGAGATAATTGATAAGGTTGGTGTTGGGGTGGGTATGGTGATCAAGAAAGGGATGTATAAAAACACCCTGGAGTGATGGGCTTTAGCGCTGGCTGTGTAGCTCATCAAAAATGCAGATGTGTGATGGAAGAGGGTTTGTGGGATGGCCCAGAACCCGTATCTCCACTTGGGGAATGTGAGTCTGATTCACAGTGTGAGCCCAGAGCGAGCACTCTTTATTAAGAAAGCTGAAAAAGATTCCCTGTGACATTTCAACCTACACAAAATGTTTTGATGGGGTCCAGCCCAAGTAGCCATTGTATCTGATGAAACTCCAGTTCTCATCTATGATGATGGCCAGTGAGGAAAGGGAAGATATTGAAGGTCATGCACTTTTTGTCATATCACCAACAAATGGCTTACTTTCGGTTCCCCTTCATTCTTCCCCATTTGAAACTTCCCAAACAACTGGCCTCCAAACCATTCTACCTTCCCATTTGTTATGGGCTGAACTGTGTCCACCCCTCCAAAAAAATAATATGCTGAAGTCTTAATCCCTAGAATTTCAGAATTGTGACTATGTTTGGAGATCAGCTTTTAAAGAGTTAAATGAGGACAGGCCCCAATCCAACACAACTGGTGTCTTTGAGGACATCAGACATGAACACAGAGACCATGTGAAGACACAGGGAGAAGACCACCATCTGGAAGCCAATAAGAGAGGCCTCAGGAGAAACCAACCCTGCTGACACCTTCATCTTGGACTTCCAGCCTCCAGGACTATGAGAATATGAATTTCTGTTGTTTACACGTCTTGGTCTCTGGTCCTTTGTTATAGCAGCCCTAGAAAACTAAGAAACCACTGATCTGGACACTGAGGTCTTCCTCCAGTCCTCTCTCTATGTCACTCACAGATACACACACACACACACACACACACACGCACGCACACATGCACACAGGTTCTTACCATAGTCTCCGAATATTACAGCCAGGATGCTGGAGCATTTCGCATAACACCTTTATCCCTGGGTCCCCCAGAGCATTGTCACTGAGGTTCAGTTCAGTGAGGTTCAGTGAGTTAGCGCTCAGGACCGAGAAGAGACCCTGCCAAAGGCTGACAGTGACATGACAATTCACCAACCTAGAAATTGTAGAGAAGGAAGAAAGAAAGAAAAGAAAATCAGGAATGGCTGGCACCAGTTCAGACAAAGACCTCCCAAGGGTTAAGAACTGACTCACAGAACCAAAGATTGCCTACTGAGGAATAACAAAGGTTGGGGGCGGTGGGGAGGCCTGGTAAGACTGTCCTGCACACCTTATTATGGAAATAGCATGAGTCTGACTGGCCGCCTTTGCACACCCTCCAGTGCCTCCCTCAGATGTCTTTCCCTTCCCTCTGTCACCAGTCCGCTGTCGTGCCCACGGCCTTGGACACTCTGCTAAGTGATCCAGAGACCACATGGTGAGATCCAGATCTCACACGGGCTGCATAATAGCATCAGCAATGCCCTCAAAAATCCTGAGGCCAGGCCACACCATACAACTAAAGTCAGAATCTCTGAGGTGGGACCAAGTATATCGATAGTTTTAAGACGTCCACGTGGTTCCAATGTGCAGCTCTTGTTAAAATGCAGATTCTGACTCTGTGTGTCTAGGACTGGGCCTGCCATTCTGCTCTTCGAAGAGGCATGGGGCGGATGCCCATGCTGCTGGTCTTCAGAAGGTTCTGGAACACACAAAGCAAGCTCCTGCCCTCAGAAGAAGGTAACTGTCCTCTAACGAGATGGGCGTCAGGCTTTTCATCAGGAGTTTTAGTCCAAGTCTATACAAGCCTTCTTCACAGGTGTGTGATCTTGGTCAGGTTTCTTCTCGGCATAGTTTTTAGGGCCCTAAGGAGCAGGTGTGCCTCCTTCCCTCTTTCTCTCACCCTCTCCAGCTATTCTGACCTTCATCATAGGGACGTAGCTGCCTCCCCAGCCTCTGCCCTCTGAACCCACTGTTCCCTCGGTTCGAGCTATCCCTTGACCACACTCAGGTTTCTCATGCTCCATCCCTCGGAGTCCAGCTGGTCAAGGGCTCCCCACCATGTGCTTCTGGTGCAGTCTATAAGTGTTCTTGCCATAGCCCGTCCCCCTACTGTCCGTCCTTGTTTCCCAGCTGCCCACACAACTGAACCTTAAGTTGCTATGAGCAGGGCCTGGGTCTTAGCCACCCCTGAAGCCCCAGCGGGTGGTCCTTGATGACCAAATGATGAATAAAAAGGTCATCCTGCTAGTGGTGCCTACGGTGAGAGAGGGGGCTGAAATTTCATTATTCCTGGTGGAAGGGCCAGTCCCCTTTCTCCCTAATTTTGTCCCATATCAAGTGCTTTCTATGCAGCTTAAACCCAAGCATTCACAGAGCATCCACCCTCCCGCCGTAGCTGTGGTAGTTCCTGAGCAGGGACTTCAGAGGCCAGGTAACTGAACTGCTTTGCTGTCCCAACACAGCAACCGGCTTCCAATGTCCTGCAACGTTGGTGAACAGACCCCAAAGAGGGTGCTGTTGGTGACTTCCTGGTTATAAACACAATGCGGGAGCTTAAAAGCACCCTCTCCTTCCCAGCCCTGTTTCCCTCACTTTCCCGTCATTCTATCTATTCCAATGAGGCCACATCCCTCAGCATAGTCTCCTACGTACACTGTTCCTCAGACATCAGACCCTACTGCCGAAATCCCTTTACCTTCTCCTGCACTCACCCACATCCAACCAGTCCTTCAAGGCAGGATCCCAGCTCACTCCTCTGACAAACCTCCCTCCAGCACCCAGCACTAAAGGGCCTCTGTCCTCTGTTCCTGAGACAGTCACTGGGGTTGTTTTGCTCCTTGAACCCCAAGTAGATTGCAAGCAATTTGAGTTTGCAACATTTCTGTTCAACTCTTTACCCCACATAATACCTTGCACTGACTTGGCATCCACCAAACATTTGCTTATTTTCTTCATTGGCTTTTTTCTCATCCATGCGTCCACCTCCCTTTCCTCTATTAGTCAATCTCTGCCACTGAAGAAGTCTGGTAGAAATGGGTGATGGTGGCATTATTATGGAGCTGTGGCAACCACATTTGAAAGGCAGTTGAGAAGCAGGCAGAGAGAGCAGGTGCCCAGAAAAAGGTGGCTAGAAAGCGGAGGGCAACACTACCATTCTACTACCTGCCCGAAGCCAAATTGTCTTACCGGTGAGTATAGGCAGCATGAGGATCTAGGGGGACACAGTGATCCACCTCAGAGTGCTGCCCTTCCTCTTCCTCCTCCTCATCCTCCTCTTCCTTCGGGGAGTTGTGAAGCAGCCTCAGTGAAAGTGATTCCACAGTGTGACAGTTCTCAATACAAAAGGAAGAAACCACATGGTCCATTCTGGTGGAGAGACTGATCTCAATTTTGGGGAAATGGCCCATGGCCTTTCGCACAAAGTCCTCCTCTTGCATCTCGTACAAACAGTAGAACAACTCCAGCTGGCTGGGCTGGATCTGCAGATTCTTGGCCTCGGCTTTCTCTTTAATCCATTTCAGCAGCTCCAGCCTGATTTGCTGCGAGATCTTGCAACTCAGTTTCTTCTCCAAGTAGGAGGTTCTCTCCTGGTTTACAAGGCCAAAGAGGAAACGTACAACAAAAATCAGATACCCCTTTTCAAATTTGCCGTAGTTTTCAAGAAGGACGGTCACATCTCGGTTGGGAAGCTTGGAACTACTCCATGGCAGGTTCCTCATCCCTCCCTGTTCCTCCTCTTCCAGCAGGTAGTACATGGCAGCAAAGAACTCCTGGAAAGTCATGTGGATGAAGCTGTAGAATTTCTCACAGTCCACTTCCTTTTGGAATAGGTTCATCCTCAAGAAAGCAGACACATCGGCCCTCTGAAGGCCATGATTCCTAAGGTCACACTCCTCAAACAGGATTTTCTGGTTCCAGATTCCATCTGCAGCCAACGAGCAGAGACCCCGGATGTTGGCAGAGACTTGGTGCTTCTGGTTCTCTCCGCAGGATTGCAACAAACTGGAGAGGAAGAAGACATACACTGCAGTGGTGGTCTTAGATGTCTGGGCAAGACTCTTGCCACTGTCCATCTGCTGCTTCAACCCGGTGCACACAATCCAGCAGACCAAGGGGATAAAGCACATCGTAAAAAGGATCTCATTCTCCTGAATCAGCCTGAAGGCCTCTGTGGCTTGTTGCTCATCGGAGAAATACTTGAAGAAATATTCCTTTCTTTTGGCCTCTGAGAAACCCAGGATCTCCACATGACGGGGACGGTCCAGCAAATGCTGCAGCTTTTCCAGGGCCACAGGTCTTGTGGTGATGAGTAAAGAGGCCTCAGGAAGTAGCCTCTTTCTGATGAGGCTGCTCAGGAGAATGTCTCCTCGCTCCACCTTCCGCCAGTTTGTGCAGAGAGCCTCCGTGTGCTCATCAAAGGCGCCCTGCAGCTCATCGAAGCCATCCATGAGGAAGAGAATCCTGGAAGGCTTGCTCACAATCTTATATATGGGTGGGTTTGGGTCAGGGCAGCAGCTGACGATCAGGTCCCCCAGGCTCCTCCGCGTCCCAAGGCTAACCTCCCGACAGTGGATATAAAACAAATAGTCAAACCTATCCCGGTAAATTTTCTCTGATGCCCAGTCCAACATGATCTTCCTGGCTAGTATGGTTTTCCCAATGCCTGCTGCTCCCTGGAATACCACTGTGTGAACAGGCTCCGAGTGTTGGTCGTCAGGCTCAAACAGAAATTCCATATTCAGGGAACTCATGGGGCTGTCCAGCGTCTTGGTTGAAGTCCTGCCAATGGCCAGGAGCTCATGCTCCCTCTCCTGCTGGCTCTGGTGCTCCTTGACAAGACGCAGCCTCGTGTAGCGTTTATTGAGGTTCACGCTCTCACCCAGACGGGCATTCCTGTCTTTAATACACTGGAATCTGCTCCTCACGTGTTTTTTGTACTTCTTACAGTAATCTGGAGCAAAGACAGAAAGGTAGACTTTGGGAGATGTCCAAGCATACATGAGCTATTGACAGGGGCCTATAGTCCACAGGGAGTGATGACCCGAGAGCTAAGCAGAGGGAGGTGCAGATTCTCTTCACTGCATGGGTATGGACAGTCCCATAAAATCTAGAATGTCAGAATCTTCCTATACACAGTTGAACAGAAGAACAGCAAAGTGCCATAGGCACTGTGACCTGCCAGGAAACCCTTTTTATTCAATCGTATTCCTTTAGGTAGTCTGCAGCCCATACCTTTTAGAACCTGAGACACTCAATCACCTTTCCTTGGTTCTGTGACTACAAGGAGCCATGTGAACACTGATCTGTTTCTTTAGCTATAGTGGATTTCCTGAAATGGGCCTTTGCCCCTCAAGGCGCAGGAACATATAGAATGATCAAGCTTCCCAGGCTCCAAAACTGGGTCTCCAAACCCAACAGGAAGCACTACCCCCACTGCTTACCTTTCTTTTTTTTACAAATAGAAATCTTGGACAGGTACCCTAATAAACCCATCCACTCCTCTTCAAGGCTTTCTTCCTGGCATACCACATGTGCATTATCTGGGGAGGAATAAAGGAAAAGGAAATACAAAGTTAAAATCCAGGACTCCTGACTAAGGTGACGTAATTGAGACCCAGTACTCAACACCTGGCACAGCTCAAAGTCACCTATCTCAGACATCCCCCAAACATGCCCCCATGCCAGAGCTGTGGATGACAGGTGTACAGTTGGACACCCAGTTTGTGGCATTCACGCACTCCTAATTTCAAAGTACTGTATGTCACTGTCACTCACACACCTAGCATTGTGTCCCCACTGTATCCAGTCTCAGGATCTCTCCCAGGCCCAGAAATCAATCGGCGAACACATGAGACAGGCAAGGTTTCTCTTATCCTTGTTTGTCTTTGGCAGACTCCCCCTGGGGCCCTGGTTTTGAGGCCATCCCCACACTAAATGTCTAAATACCCCCAGATGGCTATGGTCCAGCAAGATTCTCCTCCCCTGCCCCCAAATGCCTGAAATTACCTGTACCCACATTCTGGGTTTTCATGATTGAGAATTACCAAGCCGGTTTGTCTAAATCAGTGGTTCATAATCCCCAGCTGACTTGAGAATCACCTAGGAAGCCTTAAAAATCTCCATCCCCAGTGATTATTTTTCAATTTATCTGAGGTGGGGACCAGCACCATTACATTTTGAAAGCTCCAACATGCATCTACAGTTGAGAATTATAGATCTAAAGAGTCACTAAATTACACATCCCAACGAAGAGCCGTTTCAGTTAGGTACAACAGAACAAGTGCTAAGCACCAGGGGAAATATTCAGCAGATGAACCCAAGAGCAACATAAAGGATTCCTGGTAGGTGTCTACTCATTTTGAATGCAAATGCTATTGGTAACCCAATCACAAAACAAAATCTAAACATTGACTCAAACCAAAACCGTGACTTAATTCTTATCTAAAACCTAACCCTACAACCTGGTCCTCCCCAGCAAAGAACAAACAAACCTCTAACCCTGGGGATAAGTCTTCCATCTCACAGCCCAGGTACAGAAGCCAAGATAGCATAGTGGTTAAGAGCCAGACTCCAGCCAAAGACACACCCGGCGCCGAATCCAGGCCTTGGCTCTGTGCCTGAAAGAGAGCCACAGGCAACCAGAACCTCTTTCAGGCTCACTTTACATTGTTGGTCAATCTCCAGAACTCTTTTGTTTGCAAAACTGAAACTCCATAGCCGTTAAACAACAATTCCACAGTCTGCACCGCCTGCAGCCCCTGGCAACCACTTCCTGTCTCTATAAATTTATCTACTCTAGGACCTCTTACAAACAGAATCATACTGCCTTTGTCTTTTTGTGACTGGCATATTTCGTTTAGTAATGAAATTGAAAGTTCATCGGAAAGTGCCAGCCTCAAGGCGCCTGGCTGGGCAGTCGGTGGAGCATGCAATTCTTGATCTACAGGTTGCGAGTTCAAGCCCTACATTGGGGTGTACAGCCTACCAAAAAAAAAAAAAAAAAAAGCCAGCCTCATGGAGTTTTTATGAGGAATGACCAAAATCCATAAAAACTGCTCAGTAAACTACTATAACTGTGATTATTACACTTTAATTTGGTTAGTGAGTACATAAGTACTGGCACAATTATAATTGTGTTATTATACGTAATTTGTTTATAACATCCCACTGCTGTGCACCCATCTCATGCCCCCATGTCACGTTTCTCTCCCTCATGTCACCCATATTGCTGCCCCACTCACATGCTTCTCCTGATCTGCTGATTTTTATTCCTCCTTTCCACTAGCTAAACATCATCATCCCGTGACTTTTTAGATTCCTCTGAGCCCTTGCTTGTGCTCTTCCCTTGATCAGAACACCAAGCCAGAAAGCACAAATACTTCACCCCCAACAGGTCCACAGTTCCTAGGGATAGACAAGCCCTGACTTGCATTTTTAAAGAAGCTAGAAAAAAGCAAACTGCTTTCCTCCAACTTCTCATAGCGCTATCATGAGAGGAAGACAGAGGATAGAGCCAAGATGATAGAGGAATTATTAAAAAACAAACATACTAATTTCATTGCGTCAAAGGATACCACCAACAGAGTGAAACGGCAATCCATGGAATGGGAGAAAGTATTTGCAAATCATATATCTGATCAAGTGTTAGTATCCAGGACATATAAAGAACCCTTACAAGTCAACAACAACAAAACAAATAACCCAATTAAAATATGGGAAAAAGTTGAATAGGCATTTCTCCAAAGATAAACAAATGGAGAACAAGCCCATGAAAAATCATTCAGTATCAGTAGTCAATAGGGAAAGGCAAATCAAAACCAAAATGAGATATCATCTTACATCCATTAGAATAACTACTATCAAAACAAACAAACAAACCAAAAATTGGTGGGGATGACGGAAAAATAGAGCTATTGTACACTGTTGACGGGAGTGCAAAATGGGGCAGCCACTGTGGAAAACATTATGGTGGTTCCTCAAAGAATGAAATCTAGCATTATTATATAACACAATAATTCCACTTCTGAACATATACCCAAAAGAACTGAAAGCAGGGTCTCAAAGAGGTTCATACCCTCATGTTCCTAGCAGCATTATTCACAATAAGCAGGAAGCAATCTGAATACCCACGGATGGATGAATAGATGAACAAAATGCGGTATACACATACCATGACATATCATTCTACCTTAAAAAGGAATGACATCGTGTCACATGCGACAACATGGAAGAAGCTCGAGGACTTTATACTACATAAAGTAAGCCAGACACAAACAGACAAGTACTTTATGATGCAGTTTATAAGAGGTACCAAGAGTAGTCAAAGTCGTAGAGACAGAAGGTGGTGGGTCCAGGGGCTGCACAGAGGGGGAACCAGGAATTGCTGTTTGGTGGGTACAGAGTTTTGCAAGATGAAGAAAAGTTGTGGAGATTTCACAACATGAATGTGCCTAACAGTGCTTAGAAACGGCTTAAGTGGTAATTTTATGTTATATGTATTTTATCACAATTTTTTTTTAAAAATGCTGTCTTCCAAACTGAGGGTTCTAGAGGGGAGGGGGGTAGGGGGATGGGTTAGCCTGGTGATGGGTATTAAAGAAGGTACATTCTGCATGGAGCACTGGGTGTTATGCACAAACAATGAATCATGGAACACTGCACCAAAAACTAATGATGTAATGTATGGTGATTAACAGAACAATAAAAAATTTAAAAAATAAAAATAAAAATGCTGTCTTCCTTCCACTCACCCCACTCTGGTTCATCCCTGTTAGCTTTCTCATAAAGGTCTCTCCTGTTGATTGCAGCAAAAATCCACACTGCCATGGCCCATGCCTTCTCCTCACCGTTGAAGTCAATCATCAGAGTGGCCAGATCCATGTGGTCGGCTTTCTCTGTCTGACTCCGAGGGAGTGGGCTGCACCCCTTCTGAGAAGGATAGTCTTCTAAGTGCATCTTGAACTTCTTAAAGTCTGCATCCTCCAGATCCTCCAGGTAACGGGCCAGCTTGCAACGGACACTTGCCATGCTCATCTGCGTCTTTTCTCAGGGTCCTTGGGTATAGGTCCACGCCAGGAAGCTGGACGGTGAAAACAGCACAGAGGTAAGAAGAGTCTTCTTAAAAGTCTGCCCTCTTTAGAGAGAACTAAACCATGAAAAACCCAGAATACAAAGGAAAAAAATATATATAACCAAACTGTAACGAGCTGCCATCTTTAGTTTTGGAAAGTAACCCAAATACCCACCAGAAAGATTTCCTGTTGGCTTGACTCAGGAGTATGTCCTGAGCCATGGAAGAACGGTGTCCCTGTGGAGAGAAACAGTAGTTAAACCCACAAACGCAATCACATCACCAGTACTATATGCCCAACTCACTTCACAATGCTACCTCAACATATCACGGGGAGAACTTTGTTCTCACAGATTCCTGGGCAATGGCCTAGGACAAACTCTTCCTCGGCTTCTGTGTCTTCATCTACAAGATGACAGAATGGAAAATATGGCCTTTCAGTTCCTTCCATCTGAAAGGCTCTGGTTCCCTGTTTCTGTTTTGACCCAGGAAATGAGTAAGTGTGATGTTAACAGAGTAACACATGGCTAGATGGAGAAAGGAGAAGACAGATGCGCGCGGAGAAGGGCATGGTCTCTGACTGCACTTCCATCCATCTATTGATCGACAGAAACAGAGGAGATGACACTCAGGGTGCATAGAGGGAACGATAAACACATGACATCTCCTTGAGGTCTCCCCTTGCAACATTCACAATCATAGCCCTTATTAGAGCTCATGGTTACTGAGAGTCTCTCGTGCACATTTGCCTAGACCCATTTTATGGAAGAGGAACTGAGTCTTACGAGAAACTAAGTGACTTACCCAGGGTTTCACAGAAAAAAAAAAAAAATGGGTTCAAAGCCAGGATATAGATCGGGGTCACTGATTTCTGAACTCATGTCCCTAAATACTACTTTCAAAGCATGAAAAGGTGTGTGACTCTTTCTTCCACCACTTAACTAGGTTTCTTAGTCAGACACCAACCAAAAAGATCAAAGACCATAAAACAGGTGGTTAAAAGACAAAAAACACATTCCCAGCATTGACCACGCAAAGCCGCTGTTTTCTTACGTAGAATTAGGGTTCCACAAAGAGCAGAGGTCAGCTGCTGGGTCTTTCTCTCTTCCATGTCTCCCAGATTTTGGATTGACGAACATGTTGGCTTTGTTTGGGATCGATCCCCTCACATGACTGAATTTGGGAAAGCACATCAACCCAAAGCCATAAATGATGCTAACGGGAGGGAGAGGGCCTGTGGAGCTGTGGAACAGTGCACGCTGGAATCCAGAGTGACCACAGCGGAGTGTGCACGACAGCTGAAGCCTGCTCACCTCTCCCTGTACCTTCATCTTGCCTCGCACTCCTGGCTCCACGCACCCACCAAATTCCTTCCTCATGCGTTGGACAGGGAGGTGGGGCATGTCCAGATAGGTCCATCAGTTTCACAGACCTTCCCAGGTCCCCCTCCATCAGTCCTTCCATCCACACCAGGACTCTACCTCTCCTCCGTCCCTAAGCCTAGGGCACTCTATCTTCACCTTTACCTCCTGTGTCCCTTGGTGTCCAGGGCAGTTCTTTCCTCATACACATGCCCTCCATCCACTCCCTGGGGGATGCTTGGCAAATCCCCTGCAGTCGTGGGTGTAAGTTGCTGTTGCTGTTCCTGTCCCTGCACACACACACTGGCATCCATGCACAGACTTCAATAATGAGAAACATATAAGGACTTCCAGAATTGCAGCTAAAGGGCAGACTTGGAAGCTGGCAGAAGAAATCCCTAGTGCATTAACCAAGACAACTCTGGCCCTCAACGTCCCCTCTTCACTTCTCCCCAGACCCTTTCAGCCACGCAGCTCCACAGAGGTGGACTCACCCGGACACCAGCCTCAGAAACAGCCCGAGAGGAGACTTGATGCATTTATAGTGGGCACAGCCCAGCAGGGGCAGGAAGGATGTGGCCTCAGCATGGAGTAAACGAGCTTGCATCACAGACAAAGTCAGAGACTAACAGTTACTCATATCGCTGGATTTTCCAAACCCAATGAATAGTGTTCTTATCTCTGGTTGTAGCCAGAGATGTCTGCACTGTCCTCAGTGGCCACTGGGGTGGGGAGGTTCCCTCTGGGTCTCCAGTTTATTATTGTTGTTGTTATTTTATCATTATTCTTTTGTTTGTATGGTAAGAACCCTTAATACAAAATCTATCCTTTAGTAAATATTTAGCGCAAAACACAGAATGGTCAGTTACGGGCTCTGTGCCCCACAGCAGATCTCCAGGGCTTGGTCATCTTGCATCACAGAAACTTGGTGCCCCTGACTGATACTTCCCCAGTCCTCCCCTCTGCAGCCCCTGGCCACTGCCCATTTCACTCTCTGTTTCTATGATTTTGACTAATTCAGATTCCACCTTTGAGCGATGTCATATAGCATTTGTCTTTCTCTGTCTCACTATGTCACCTTGCATAATGCTCTCAAGGTCCACCCATGCTGGTTGCAAATGCCAGGATTTCCTTTCTCTCATGGCTGAATAATAGCCATGGTGTGTGATGTAGATATATATGCCGCATCATCTTCATCCATCCCTCCATTTATGGACACTCAGCTTGTTCCCATACGTAACCATTGGGAGTACTAGTGCAACAGACGTGGGAGTGTGCGCATCTCTCCGAGATCCTGATTTCAATTTCTTTGGACAGACACAAATTCTGCTCCCTGACCAGCTGATTCACTTGTTCTACGAACACTTATGGAGCACCTGGTGTGTGCCAGGCAAGAACGCAAGCCTGAAAGGCACCGTGCTAGGCCCCCGAGGAGCTGGAGGACAGAGAAGCACCCAGACCGTGTTTCCCAGCACTGGTGATGGTGGCAGGACCACGGTGTGATAGTGGCCTGTGTCTCATAGAGCATGGTGCAGGGCAGGTGCTCAGCTCCCCAGGCCCGTGTGGGGCCCTGGAGGGAGAGGGCCAAGACTCCACATCCAGAGGAGGGGCGCTACTTCTGTCTCTATCAATGGCACTGAGGGCAGAGGGTTGTCATAGGGATTGAACAAATGGCTAAATGGGCAGAACCTGATTCAGAGAAGCTGGAGTCAGTGCTTAAGTCCTGCTACTACCATTGTTATAGAATTGTGTGCAGGATGCCCTGTGAGAAGGAGAGGTACCTCCTCCTACCGTAGCGAGTGCAGGACAGCAGACCTGAGTGCCAAGCCCTGCCGGTCCCGGGGAGCAGCAAGCATTTCAGACGCTCAGGACACAGACATGGAAAATCACACCCAAGGGCGCCTGGGTGGCTCAGTCGTTAAGCATCTGCCTTCGGCTCACGTCATGGTCCCAGGGTCCTGGGATCGAGCCCCGCATCGGGCTCCCTGCTCCGCGGGAAGCCTGCTTCTCCCTCTGACCCTCCCCCTGCTTGTGCCTCTCTCTGTCAAATAAGTAAATAAAATCTTTAAAAAAAAAAGAAAAGAAAAGAAAATCGCACCCAAGAGGAACGGCTGAACCAGAAACCAGGCATTGTAATTTTTTTTTTTTTGAGGATGAGAGAGCTTTTCCTTTTTCTTTTCTATCTTTCTTTACTATTTGAATTTTATTTTGTTGCCATAACCAGGCATCACTCCTATGACTAAGAAATCAAACTAATCAGTTAACGGACACCACTTCTTCAGAGTAGATCTAAAAGAAACCTTCACAGTTGCAGGATTATCAGAACCTGGCAGTGGAATGAAGTGGCTAGGTTCAATTTCATTTCACAGATGAGCAAATAGTAACTGGGTGGACTTGGGCATTTTTGAGGATACGGCCAACCAGTTGATGGTGGGATTGATACTTGAGCTTGAGATTTCTGACTTCTAGGGACAAGAATACACTTTTTTTTGTTTTAGGATGGTCAAAACACCTAATTATGAATTTTCCCTTCTCGAATAATTACGTACTTTTCACGTCTTTCCACCAGTGTATGTCTATCTTTTCTAACATAGCAAAACAGCAAGACTTCTTGCCTTCTTCTTGTACAGACCGAGGGCTTCTCACCAGCATGTAAGGTCACATAACCACCACCACAACGGACATTCGGAGTACTCCCAACATCCCCCAACGTCTTCTCCTCCCTCTTCCCAGCCACGCTCCACCCCCACCCACAGACCCAGGCATCCACTGGCCTGGTTTCCAGAGGGTCACAGACACAGAATCCGATGGCATACGCAGCCTTTTGCGTCCAGGTCCTTCCATTCTTTCTGAGATGCAACGTGAGCCTCGCTCCTTGTGCTGCAGTCTCCGTGCCCTTTTGCTGCTGGGCTGGATTCCACTGGATGCACAAACCACAGCGTGTTTACCCGTTTCCCACACAACCGTATGTGGGTTGTGTCCAGTTTTGGGCAACTGTTAATAAAGCCACTGTAAATATCTGCATGCGGATTTTTGTGTATGCTTTCATTCCCCTTGAGTAAATATCTGGGAGTGCAATGGCGGGATGGTGTGAGAAGACTGTGTTTGAGCTCTAAGGAACTGTCAAACTATCTTCCAAAGTGGTTGCACCACCAGCCATGTGTGAGGACCCCAGTACCTCTGCCTCCTTGACAGCACTTGGTAGAAACAGTTGTGTTGTACTCGTTTACGCCATCATGACAGGTTTGTAGGGAGCTGGGGAAATTCAAGAAATCGTTCGAAAATCCGTGCAGTCTGACTGGATACAATTATGTAGGGACATTAGTCGCTGGGAGGCTGAGGAAGAACAGATATGATCTCCAGCCTTCACCACACTTAGGCTTGGCTCCTGCTGTCCCTGTCAGCTGACCCATGTTCTTTGCTGCGAGGCTCCAAAAACAATACCAGAGGGAATGCAAAGTACGTTGTTCAAAATTCATTCCAGAATTTGGAAAGATACTCTAATTACTTATGAAAACTAGATAGGAACAAAATCACCATGCTTTGCATGTTATCGGGCATTCAAAACAAGTTCTCTTTCAGATGCGGGAAAATAAAAGTCAACACAAAAGTGAAGCATAACAATTTCTTCTTCGTTTGTATTCGTGCTGCCTCGAAAAACAGCGTGGAGAGCCACATTTTTACATGGCGCACTGAAAAAAAAAGCCCATTAAACACTGGAAGCTCACAATGTAAGGAAAACCTAAAGTGGCCACAAATTCTTTCTCACTGAACAAACTACAGGAAACCAAAAGAAAACAAAAGTAAACCCACTCATTTTTGCTTTTGTTTCCCTTGCCTGTGGAGACATGTCTAGCAAAAAGTTGCTGCGGCCAAGGTCTAAGAGGTTGCTGCCTGGAAACCAATGACTGATGTAAGCCACAGGGACAACAGCCTGCCAGGTGTGAGGGGAAAAGAAATAGGGCCAGCGCAGAGGTGCTTCGCCCTCCCCACGTCCCAGCCCACGAGACCAGGACAAGCCCTGGTTCAGCAGGTGGGAGCAGAGCCAGGAAAGGCCACACAGATTTTTCTGACCCAAAGATCCAGACACCATACCTG